AAGAAGTACTGTACAGGAAGGACGACACTTCAGAACAATAATACGTTATATCCTTTAATAAAAATTACTGTACAGGAAGGACGACACTTGAGAACAATGATACTCTATACATCTGACTCGAGGGTTCTGTGTTGGACAAAGTAATTCTATCATAGCAGTCGGTGCCTAAAACATGAGGACGTACGTTACCGCTGCCGAAGTCTGATACAGCTTTGCTCGAGGGTTCTGTGTTGGACAAAGCAATTCTATCATAGCAGTCGGTGCCTAAAACATGAGGACGAACGTTACCGCTGCCGAAGTCTGATACAGCTTTGCTCGAGGGTTCTGTGTTGGACAAAGCAATTCTATCATAGCAGTCGGTGCCTAAAACATGAGGACGTACGTTACCGCTGCCGAAGTCTGATACAGCTTTGCTCGAGCGCTCTGGACTTAAAACAAGAACGATAACTTGTATAATTTATCTTTCCATTGTTTGCAAACCAAGTGTGGCCTATTGACATCTAAGGTTGCACTTGAAACAGTGCGATTTTTAAAATACACTTTCCAAGGAAATGAAACAAGAGAAAATCTGATGTTGATAACCTTGACAAGTCTTTGTCCCAGTGAAGAGAGCATTACTGCAATAACAGAGATAACGTTAGAAACAGTAATGTTGAATATGTGAAACAAGCCTTAGAGATTAATCCAGCCAAAGAAAAGGATGCTGCCCTGGATAGGTAGAAGAAACATCTATAGCAAAGATATCAGCAAAAGCCAGGAAATGTCGGGAGTTGGCTCTAAGAAAAGCTATGAGAAGGGTAGGGCTAGAGCCTACTAATCACTCTCGAAACTTAGTAAAAAAAATAGCTAAGACAAAGTTAAAATTAGGAAGTAGGAATGGGCGGGATAACATTACAACACATTCCTACTTCGTGTTCTACTTTGATCCAATTATAGACCTGAATTGAGTTTTATCAGTAGCTAATCCTTTCTAAATACTCAACAAATGTAACATTTTCACAAATCAGTGGTTTTGATACTATTCTTTTGGCCTACCCCTTACTAGTCAGATAGCTATTATGTCTCTCATAAGCAAAGTATGACTATTGCAGCTTCCTGTCTAACTTCCGCCATCAAACATCCCCCTTTATCATGTCGTGCATTTTGTTAGGGTCACATAATTTGATTACATACATATATCTATACTTTGTTGCTGAAACAAAGTTTACAACAGAGAAATTTAGTTATATACACCTTTCATTCAGTTTGAACAATTACCAAGTTATAAAAAGCACACGAAGTAGGAATGGGGGGAACGATGGCCACCAAGTGCTGTTATTTGTTTTTAACAGTTGTATTGGATGATTTTGAAATAAGTATTTTTACTTACTTTTAGGCATATTTGTGCTATATAATGTTAATATAAACAAAACGACTATTGTTGGCACAATGAAACAGTTTTATTGGTAGAATGGTACATAACCCAATACTTTACCAGTATTTCAGTTGTTATGTTAAAAGAACCAAATTTGGCACAAATTTTGTACTTTGCATACTGATAAATTCCAGATATAGAGGGGCATGACACGAGGTTCGGTCATTTGCGCATGTGCAAGTGTTTTCAACCTCATTTGCTAGAAGTTTATGTAGACTGACTTACTTAAGTACAGTTGTTTTCATGTTCGGTTTAAATACATTGATTTTACTCTGAATGTTTCCTTTTATCAAATGTTGTTCATGAATTAAATTTTCGAGTACATGCGCATACGTTAGCAACGATATTTTGATAAAGTTCAACATCACGTTCACTGTTCGTTTCCTCGACAGTTTTGTTTTATATTTCATACGAAATTCGTTCTATTTTATTGATTCAACTTCATAAAATGGCAAAACTCGTACAATTGGTTGACACCTCTGATGAGTAGTTCAACGCCAGTTACCGACTGGACTAAATGTTGTGTTGGTCAAATGGAATACAATCACATTGATGATAAGAAGAATAATCTATTTTGTTTTCTGTCTCCACACGTAATTCAACTGTCTTCCTCCTGGCAGAGAAATAATAGCAACAGATGGTGCAACTGTGCTACTTTAAAGCCAACGAAATGACGTATCTGCACGAGAAAGTTTACATTAGAATAAACGTTCATGCTTCATACCATATGCCAAGGCCATACAATCGTAATGATTCGTACAGTCGATACAGATGTTCTGGCAGTGTTTGTCAAATTTTGATGATTTTTTTTTGTCCATCAGTCGAGAGCATTGCCACTTTACCACGCTTTTTCTGGAAGCGACACTATGTTGTTTCTTTGTTCAGTACAAGAAGAAGGCTTAAGAGACATGGCGTTTATTACTATCAGTAACTGACATATTTCAAGAAGTGTCACAGGCCTTGATAACGTGTCAAACGAGTGTATCTGTGATCTAAATAGGTGTGTTATTATCATGTATGATAGAGCAAGTGGAGGAACTTTATATTAAAAAGATGACTCATTGAAAGATTACCAACCACAAAAGATACATTGGTTAAACATATCCTTCTTGCTGTATACCAAGGCAGCCAAGCTACGAGTCCTAGCCAAATCCATATGACCGGGGGTGGAAATGGGAAAACGATTCATATTAGCCAATGTGGCTTACACTACTGGAAACTGCACACGAATTAATCAATGTGAATGAAAAAAAAAAAAAAGTTGTGGGAAGCACTGCAAATGTGTAAAGTCGGCGCTTCCGTATACCTCATAATACTGATGTGATGGACTTTGCACACAAGAACAGACTTGTGGTGTTAAACACGTGATCAGGGATATAAATAAACATTGGGCATGCGAAACTTTAGTGTTTTTGTCAGAGTAACACCTTTAACCTCAAAATATTAAACGTATATAAAAGCCGTTATGCTATGCTTGCAAGAATGTGATAACGACGAGCGTATCCACAAAATGCCAGTTATTTGTATTTACCAAAACGTTTTTCAACTTCAACCTACCAGCTGTATTAAGTTTGATACTCCTTTAACAAATGTATCTTGATTCCTGCAGAGTACGTATTGTCTGTTCTTTTTTTATACATGAGAACATCTGCATCATCGGCGCATGCTCAAATGATGAATTTGTGGTGTCATTATATAAATTCATAGGCACGTCAAATACTACTAAGGAACGAAACTCCACGCTTTTATGTCACATAAAACAAGATATGCACTGTATAACCTTCACTTTCTCTACTGGATCGATGCAAAATATTGAAACAATCCGCGCATGTGCAAATACCCCAAAATGAGACGTCTCCATACCTGGAATTAATCAGTATATCAAGTACTATCCGAGTCAGTTTCAGTGTTTTCAATATATAGTTACCAATTTTTCTATTATGTAGCTCCTCTATATTAGTTACTTACAGCCGACTATTCTCGGTAACGCTGGAGTTTAAAAATATGCTACTTGATATAACTAATAAGGCTTTTCCTTTCACTGTGCCAATAATATTCGTTTACTTATTTTTAAATTCATCAACAAGTAGCATAATTTTGAAAAATGACGTTCATTCTTAAAACGACAAGAAACAAGAAAATCTAGAAAAAATTTCAGAGTTGTAAGATATCACACCGCCACCTTTAGACAGATCTAAGAACTATTACAATTTATTTTCCATAACTATCCAGATATTTGTTGTTTTTTTGCTGAAAATCCACGAAAATAAATTTTATTTCAACTTTATCTACAGACTGCGTTACTAAATGTATTAGTCTGCGACAAAAAGTTTAGTCTTTAAGTCTTTCCTGTATAAACCTCTTCTTCGATATATATGGGGTCTTTTTGTTGAGGGTGAGCATTAGTTAAACATTAAAACAACTTTATCTACAGACTGCGTTACTAAATGTATTAGTCTGTGACAAAAAGTTTAGTCTTTAAGTCTTTCCTGTATAAACCTCTTCTTTGATATATATGGAGTCTTTTTGTTGAGGGTGAGCATTAGTTAAACATTAAAACAACTTTATCTACAGACTGCGTTACTAAATGTATTAGTCTGTGACAAAAAGTTTAGTCTTTAAGTCTTTCCTGTATAAACCTCTTCTTCGATATGTATGGAGTCTTTTTGTTGAGGGTGAGCATTAGTTAAACATTAAAACAATTTTATCAAACTGTTAAATGGTGAGCATTAGTTAAACATTAAAACAATTTTATCAAACTGTTAAATGGTGAGCATTAGTTAAACATTAAAACAATTTTATCAAACTGTTAAATGGTGAGCATTAGTTAAACATTAAAACAATTTTATCAAACTGTTAAATGGTGAGCAGTAGTTAAACATTAAAACAATTTTATCAAACTGTTAAATGGTGAGCAGTAGTTAAAAATTAAAGCCATTTTATGAAACTGTTAAATGGTGAGCATTAGTTAAACATTAAAACAATTTTATCAAACTGTCAAATGGTGAGCATTAGTTAAACATTAAAACAATTTTATCAAACTGTTAAATGGTGAGCAGTAGTTAAAAATTAAAGCCATTTTATGAAACTGTTAAAAGGGTGTATATAAGCTATATTAAGGTAATTCTATCACAATGGTGTGCATTATAATAATGACCACCACCACAATAATATTAATAATCTTACATTCCTATTAATGGTCTAGAGTAACTGATAATATTGAACAATCAACTTAAATTTATCACTACTTAATCACTACTTTCAGGTCCTATTTCAAACATTTATTTAAAGAAAATAAACCTTAAAATGGTTTGTTTGTTTTGGTTGTTGTTAAGCGCAAAACAACACAATGTGCTATCTGTGCTCTGTCCAATATTGGTACTGAAACCCGATTTTTAGACTAGAGTCACTAGGGGGGAGGGCTTAAAATAATAAAATACATATATACTAATGTCAGTCCAATGGAGTTAATTTTGCTAGATTGTCTACACATTTATTTTCTTTGATAGAAACATTTATTTATTTATTCGTTGAATTTCGCGAAAAGCTACTCGAAGGCTGACCGTTCTTAATTTTGAAATCGCAGATTACAAAAAAGGCAGCTAGACAACACCAACCACCGCCAACTCTTGGGCTCCTGTTCTCATACCGAATAGTGAGATTTGACCGTCACTCTTGTAACGTACCCACCAAGTTCTTACACGTCAAATAAATGAAACTGAAACCAACCCGAAGATCGCCGAAAGGTGTATATCAGAAAAGTGGAACAGACAGTCTCGGCTGCGTATATTTTTATATTCTTGTAAGCAACAATAATAAACTAACACTGCAACAATTTTCTGAATGTAACAACTATACGTTTCAATATAAACATGCATTTAACATTATGCAATACTTATTAACGTATCCATGATCTGATAGTAATTATAATGACCTAATTTCTGAAACTAACCACATCCTTCCAGACGCAAAACAATGCAAAAATTCTTGTATAGTTTACAAGTTGTCCTTGTTTTTTTTAATTCCCCCAGCCATTAAGAACAATTAGTTCCCCACACGACATCTTTTGACATGTGGTATAATCGTGAAGGTTTTTTAATTACGTAGACATTTATATGAACATTTTTATTTGTTTTGGAAATCTTTAAACTGTAATTACAAAATACACTATCCGATAACACTTGGTTACTGAAGTGCTTTTGCCAAAATGAAACTACAGAGTTCCAACTGTTTTAAGGCAAGATAGGTAGAGAAAGCATTTCTTTGTTTGTTGAATTTCGGGCAAAGCTACACGTGGGCTATTTCCGCTAGCCGTCCCTAATTTTGCAGTGATAACATAGAAGAAACACAACTACCTAACACCACCCACCGCCGACTCTTACCAATGAATAGTGGGATTGACCGTCACATTATAACGCCCCCACTATTGAAAGGACAAACATGTTCAGTGACAAGGATTCGAACCCGCTGGTCGAGTGGTCTAAACACCAGGCCAAAAGGAAGACGAAAGCAAAACAATTTTTAAGACTGGAACAAATTAGGGCAGAACTACACCTAAAGTACGTTACATGAAGTTCAAACTATAAATTATTTAATGCACTAATTTATATCCTTCACAAAATTCAGCTTAAAATGTTCTTATCTTTATAACCAGACCTTTTAATGAAAACAATTTATGTATAGTCATTAATGTTTCCTTGACGTAGTATCGCTCTGCCTAGAGACAGGCTCTCATCAACATAACAATACCAAGACAAGTAATACTTCGAAAAAATTCGACACCGCATCGCAAGCGCCACCTAGTTTTGGTAAACAAAGACTCCATGAATTCCAAACTAAAATGAATAATAAAAACTCGATGATTTTGAAAAGGTTCCAATAATATGAACCAAAAGCAAACAAAAACTTTTAAACGGTCTATTAATTAGTCGTAAAAGGTAAGTTATACTTAACAGCGATTCTGTTATAAAAACTGCTCACAGGAACCAAAAAATGTAAAACGTATACAAATATATCAGCGCCACAGAAAGAGACAATACTCAGAAACGTTATCTATTATAGTCTTATCGCTAACCTTTGCCCGCCAAAATACAACAAGCTAAAGTTAGCATATCAACAAGCAGAGGTGACATTAAAAACACATCTGAATTTTAAGTGATATTGTTAACTATACTAGGGGTTCTGAAGATACCCTACTTAAGGGTACAGCTGTTTTTTCTACAAAAGTTATTGGTAATTTGATACTGACTCGTGCAAACGAATCGTATGCACCACTGAGTGTTTATTTGAAAAACGCGTGCTTATAAAACTGGCGGTTAAGTCAGACAATACTTAGTTTTGATTTGGTGGCGATCCTTTTGATCTTAGAAGCCATGTTGAAACTCAATTTTTCCTGACTAAAATATTAAGCGGCGTTCTGAACAGTAATTTAAAACTAAAGATAGCTATATAATAATTCCAGCATCAGAGACACGTCTGCACCTGTAATCGTTTCTCATCGTAATCAGTTATCACAGGCTATCAAAGAACGAAAGTAGACTAAAAACAAATTAACTGTAATTTCTAATCAAATCAAACTACCTACAAAGATCACGATTAAAATGTAACCCTGTAATTAATACGGCGTGAATGGTCGAAATATGTTAAGTTACAAAACAAAAAACTTACAATGATTAGATTAAACTGATTCATCGGGTGTGTACCCTTGTTGTTATAGATATTTTCGGCTGTAATTCCAAAAATAAAACAAAAACTACAGAGAAATTCATGGTTTATCCCATATTAGCAACACTGTCCAACGAAACTGACCAATGAGTTTCTCGGTGTGGGTTTCAATTTCTTTAAAATAATTTAAGTAACCTTTAGTTTATATTAATAACACCACTTCGTATAATGAGCTTTAAGTTAGTCACGAAAACAAGATTTGAAAACCAAAATTATAAATCAAATCTTGTTTATTTAATAGTTTTCTCTGGTCTGCTTTTCACTTCAGTTTGGGTCAGAGGTGACGTTTCGGGTTCTGTGGCGACTCCTTCCTGTTAAAACATCGTCACCACACTGCCTAAAATTTTATCTACAAGAAGACGGGTGAAACAAGATTAGTGATATTTTGGCAATATTAATAAACTCAAAACGCATTATAAATACACTGTAAACCATGGTATTTTCAACTATGTACAGAAATGCCGTTTACAGGAATAAAACTGAACACATGGTTTAGAGGTTCTTTACAGTGAGAAGGCACTCCTTATTTAAATTATTAAGATGACCACTGCAGTTTACAGAGTTGTATTATTTGTTAGACACGTCTTCTCTGGATCGTTTGCGAGACATTTTTAGTTTTTTTCTTTCCTATTATGAATCGTGATATCCATCGGAATAGCAATCCCCATATACATAACAATATCCACCAGAATAACAATCCAAATATTCATAACAATATCCATCGGAATAAAAATCCCAATATTCATAACAATATCCATCGGAATAACAATCCAATTATTCATAACAATATCCATCAGAGTAACAATCCCAATATTCATAACAATATCCATCAGAGTAACAATCCCAATATTCATAACAATATCCATCGGAATAACAATCCCCAAATTCATGATGTTATCCTTCGAATAAAGAATCCCCATATTCAAGACGATACCATTAAATCACAGGAAATCCTACTTGAAGTAAAGTACAACATCAATTGATTCATTTTAAACTCAATATCAAACATTGTCCAATAAAACACCTGAAAAGAAAAGATACTTGTCATATTCCGGTAATTTAAGGCCGGTTTTAGGTCATCAATAACACGATTCATCAAATATTCTTCTTTATTATCATAATGACATCTTCGAACCGCCATTAAAGGTCCTCACTGATTCCCAACTACGACTGAAGAAATATCAGTATAGTATAAAGCATTCTCTCCCTCCCCCTAGGGAACCGGGGTGGGGTAGTTTGGGTTTTACAAAAATTCCTCGTCACCTTCTACTTAATTACGAAGCGACCACGACTGATTACTAATTTAGTCACAAAGATTCCTTTTGTTCACATTTCCATTGATTTAGTGAATTACCTTCGTTAAAGGCTGTCGGATCATGTAGTTGCTTTCATGATGGTCGTTCTGAAAGTTACTGTTACGTTTTATGTCCTTTCTAACCATACAAAGAAACTGCCCTAAAGTCTCGTGTTTATAAAGCTATATAAAATGTATGAAGAAAAACTACTAAGAGATTTTATATTGTTATTTTTTAATTTAAAATTAGAAGCTGTCCGTTTAATTTGAAAATCTCTTATTAATGACATAGGGTACGTAACAGGCTTGTTATCGTTTCCAGTTATAATGAAATCAACGAGAAAAATCTATTAGTAACGTAATTGTCTTTATTGATCCAGAAGTCTTTTGGTGTTTAATGATATCGACTGTGGGACTTAATGATTTGGCAGGACATTCATCCAATAGCCATTAAGCATGTTTTTGACGTCAGATGTGTTTACGAATATGGATATTTATAAGTTTAACGATTCCCTGATATTACACAAGACGTTTAATTGGAATGAGACGGATATTTGTTTCTTTCCATCACAAATCTCTAGGTAATAAAAAAATGTAAAGACAAATACCACGCATGTGTTACGTCAGTGGATGACGCCAAAGATTGCAAAATTAACCCGTCGTTGTATTTATTTTTCTCCTTTGATATTTCAATTAAAAATTATTAAAAGGCCTCCCACCAGTGTCTGTTGCTACCAACCTTTATAATAAACGTTAAGTTTGAAAAGTTACAGGATGAATTTGAATAAAACACTAATTTTAGCGAAATCTCTAAAGGAGATGCTGAATTATAATTTATCAAATCCTAAGGACCAGATATAAAGATGTGTTTCTAACACAGTTGTTTCCCATCTACCACATAGCAACTGAAGATAATCTTTCTTACTTTGCAACTGAGAATATTCATTTCAAAACTCTTTTCAGTTCCTACTGAATGATACATTTTAAATTGAGAGTAAAAGTTAGTATAATTTGTTTTACAGACCATTACAGGCTCTATAAGTAGTTATGTAAATTTTGAAGGTCCGGTGGGAGGACTAATAGTGGTTTCTTTTACTAACCCTTTTTTAATGGAATATTTTTTATATGATGATAAATGTTCACAGTTTCACCTCAATACAAGTTACATTATTTGGCCCTAGATGGCGATAGGTAACCCCCCGTAATACCTTTCTTTACCGAATATCAAATTTACCTCATTACTCAGCTTAAAAAAATATTTGTAAAATACAACGTACATACGTATACAGGTGTGAGCGTGAGAATAGGTCCAATGGGTGAGTGTTGGTAGTGCTGTATATAGGTGTGAGCGTGAGAATAGGTCCAATGGGTGAGTGTTGGTAGTACTGTATACAGGTGTGAGCGTGAGAATAGGTCCAATGGGTGAGTGTTGGTAGTGCTGTATATAGGTGTGAGCGTGAGAATAGGTCCAATGGGTGAGTGTTGGTAGTACTAGTACTACCAACACTCACCAATTGAACCTATTCTCACGCTCACACCTATATACAGTACTATCAACACTCACCCATTGGACCTATTCTCACGCTCACACCTATATACTGTACTACCAACACTCACCCAATGGACCTATTCTCACGCTCACACCTATATATAGTACTACCAACACACCCATTGGACCTATTCTCACGCTCACACCTGTATACAGTACTACCAACGCTCACCTAGTGGACCTATTCTCACGCTCACGAGTTATAAAAAAAATCTCACGCTTTGGTCAAATTAGCAGCTGTCTGTCTATATCGCCCTGTAGTTGGTTTATTGTCTCTCTATACCGCCCTGTAGTTGGTTTATTGTCTCTCTATATCGCCCTGTAGTTGGTT